TCGTTTCCTTTCGCCTCCTAATGCTAGAATTCGGCATTAGGTCGTTCAATGAAGTAGAGGAAAAGCTAGTACTAAAACTAAATAGTTAACTATCTCCTAACAAGCCTGGTAACTCCATTGTTAAATTCCGTTCTGGTCCTAATAATGCTGTGTTGTTGTTTTCAATCATTCTGCATTTGTTTGATTGATTCATAGCTGTGATGTACGCCGCGTTCATACTTAGCGACTGGAGCGGTAGACTCGCAGAGTTAGAGGCCGCGTGTCTGTTCTCACCGCTAATCATTGGACCGATGCAACTGCTGATTCAGTCACATTCGAACTTTGGCACTTATCCGCCTAGGAGGAAGAAGAGAGGGGGAGAAAATATTTCCTAGAGTCCGCAACGCAAAATATTCTGGAAACTCGTGTGAACAACCAGATAGCTACGTAACGGTAACAGTGACACGATGAAACCACACCATCCGTTTGGAGCTTTCACGAAGAAGCCTGACCATCGCGGCCTTCGTTTAGCATCCAGTCCAGTCGGTAATCGCTCTCGTCCAGCGGTCATCTTCAGAACGCATGACGTGCCCGGACCACTTGATCTTCAGAACCTTGGCGAAAGCGGCCGCCTCCCTGATGTTCTCGTCAACTGAGTGCGGAGCTCCAGATTCCCTATGTCACTGCGTGTAGCGGGGAACACTGAGTATAGTTTTTTCGATGGCACATTGAAGTGACGCCAACCGCATGCTCATCCTGCTTTCGTAGAGTCCAAGTCTCTGAGGCGTACGTCAAGGCAGGAAGGACCGCGGAATCGAAGAGGTGGGCACGGAGCTTGGTGTTCTTCGTCTTCTTCGCTACTCCCTCGATGTTCTTGAAGGCTCCCCAAGCCGCTCGCTTCCTCCTGCTCAGCTCTGGAGCTAGGTCATTCATCATATCGGATTCCCGACCCAGGTGCACATAGACAGAACACTCACGGCTCGTTTTGAGAAAAATGCGTTATAGGAAAGCTGGTAGTAGAACTCACAGGGCACGCACGAGGACTAAAACGATGAGTTTCTTTCTCGCTGCATTCAAAAATGAATGCCAGAAAAAGTGTGAAAAGAAACCTCCTGACCACTGTACGATAGTACATTAGTTCAAGGCTTATGAGACTCCTACAGGCTTTCTGCTACATACCGTAACAGTATTTCATTTGTTACTCCGCCATAAATAACAGCATATTCTCGAAAAAAAACCCTTCTCCAAAACTTCATTTCCACAAGACTTATGAGACAGATTCGAGTAAAAACATGAAGATAAGCATAACATATCTATACACCAGTATTAAACAGGGGATCATGACAATATCTTATCACTGGAGAAGAAAAGTAAAGAAGGGACTCAAGTCATCAGATGCAGATAGATATATTATTGAAACCATCCTCCACGAAGAGCAAGCACTAAATGCAAAACGGAACCTCCAGCAACCTAAAAATGGAGATGTAATTACGAAAAGTTAGTTATGTAATTC